GTGGTGAATCTTTCCAAATCCTCCTTAGATCTTCTCATGAACGTCCAGATCTCTTCTTGTATGTAAAGCTCATCCTTTCATAGTCCTTGCCACCTATTCCTTGTCCTATAAACAAAAGAGAACTAATTATGGCATGTGGCATATATGGTAAGTAAATATATAAGATATATATTATGTAATCCTTCTCCTAAAGGATTAGGATTCCATAATACATACTACAATGAATATATACCATATATTATTAATAATAAATATTAGGAACTTAATTAAATCACAAGTAAATAAATAGAAAAACTTCCCTTTAATTTATTTTGCTTGCTTAACAAGAAATCTTCTAGAAAACACTTAGGTTTGTCGGACATGATGCCAAACCAATGTTCTTACAATATTAAAAAAAAAAAATGGTGCATTGCTATAGTGCTGTGCTAGAACTGGCGCACACTGTTTATTTATCTGCAATAGCCCAAAAATTTAGCACAGTACTAGAGCAAATATTCTGCTCTATTTGAGAGTTGCTCTTAGGTGACCTATTGTTACTCAACCAGTGTCCTTCAATATCTACACAGTCTCCCTACTAAGTTTTCTGAAAAGATTCTCACTTTTCCTTAAATTGATCCTAGTGGTGTTCAAACAGTTTTCTTTACCTTTATTTCAACTTAATTCAATTACCCTACCCTCGGTGCTATATTGAAGCTGCCTGGGATTTATTATGTGCCTTGTTGAGCTCTGCAAGAAAATTACCTGCTATTTTACGGTAAAAGTCCACTTTTTTTCTGCCTTCATTTGAAACAGTACCTTCCATTTATTTTGGGACCATGTTCAATATGGGTTGTGAAGAAATCGGTTCAGTATCTTTTTTTTTTATTTTTTTTTGGTACAGGGATGTTGTGAGTATTTTTTACCGGAGTAGAATCGAAAGATTCGTTCCCCGGGTCGTATCGCAAGGAAGGTTAGCCGGATTCAATTGTACGATTATTTGATCACGAGAAAGAAAAGAAAAATTCCTAAACACTTTATTCAATAATTGGGGTTTTAATTATCAGCTAAGATTTAAAACTAATGCAAACAAATTAAATAGCAAGTGAATAAACTCAATTGATTAAAGAGCTAGGGAATCGGGGATAATTGGTTTCGGTTCTAACACAACTACCGACAATCAATTGCTCGGTTAAAGGACTTGAATCGTCTCTCGTCCAGAGGCTCACTCTCAATAACTCTTCGTAACAAGAGAGTGAACGTACATGATCAACTATCAATTCCAACAACTCATAGACAATACTATTACGAACAAGCCTAAACAAGCCTATATCCACCAACGTCTCCCCTCTCGGTTCTACACGTTGATTAATTAGGTTAGAAAGGTGATCAATCTACTAACCCTATAATAAGAACAACTTGAATAGATATGAACAATTAAGAACAAGCAATTATAATCGAACCTAATCAATCATCCCCTATCCCTAGCATATGGATTTAGCTACTCATATGGAATTCAACATCAAAACTCATAAAAACCCAAGCCATCATCATCAATCACACAATTGAGAAAAGAAGAACTTACGATTAATAAAATAATCCCAATGTCAAATCCACTGAACAATCCAAATCCAAGCCATAAAACAGAGTTTTTTAATCTCCAAAACCAATCCAAAATAGCTAAAGTATGAAAAGGAATGAGTTTCTAGAGAGAAAAAGTGTAAAAACGAAGTCTGGAATGTGAATAATAATGTCTAGGTCGAAATTCTGATGTTAAAATCCCGACCTCGAAATTCGCGCCGGTTATCTCGTGAGTCGCGAGATAAGTCGCGAGTCGCGACATGCACTTTTGCCGAGTCGCGAGTCGCGCGTCTTCGAAAAATATTTAACTTCTGGGGAAACTCGCGACCTGACTCGCGAGTCGCGACTTGTCTCGCGAGTCACGACATGGACTCGCGAGTCGCGACTCGTCTCGCAGAACTCGTCTTTTCGGCTCTGTTGGACTCGCGAGTCGTGACCTTCTCGCGAGTCGCGACCATCTC